TCCAGGCTATTAGCTACAAAGAATGTTGCGACTGTGACTCTTTTACGTGTCTTCCCATACTGCCTCGAATTTTCTAATGAATTTAACTGGTTTATCAGCGGTGTATGCAAATGCCATGTTTGTACTTCTCAACTTTACACCGTCCATTTTCTGATACGTACACTTATCTATAACATTAATTGTTGCACCAGTATCTATTGTCGCGTCAAAAGAGGATTTGTAGACAGTAACACGGACTTTGGGAGTGTTTTTACTACGTACAGAAAATAAATAATCTTCATTTTCATCAGTACTGTCTGAAGGATCGCTCTCATTGGGTTTCAGAGAGTTTAGGTGTCGTTTGCTGGTTTTCCCTCTTGTTTCTTATAATGATTTCGTGTAGTATTGTCTCGTTCAGGCTTGCCGCGACATACTTTAGAAAAATGATTCTGCTTACTGCATTTATGACAACTTTTCCCTTTCGCTGGGCAAACGCCTTGATGGGGATATGAACCGCCACAAAAATGACATATTTGCGTCGATTGTATTAGGGCTATGCTGTTGCTGTTCTGGTCCTTCGATTCTATGTCTCGGGCTTGGTATTTACTCTGCTCATTCCTTCGGCCATCTAGAAGGATATCTTTGAGTGTGTACTCAGGATCTCTTAGGGCTTTCTTACGTACTCTTGAAAAAATCCCTGCCATTATTATCTGTTGTTCTAATTCGAAGTCAACATCAGCGAACCCACAGGTTTGAGAAAGCTTTCGTAATCAGGTATGGAATTGATCTAAAGTTTCCGATTGTTCCTGCTTAGCTTCACGAAATTTGTATACTTCGTAGCGGCGATTTTTTTGTGGTTCAAAGTATTCCGCAAGTTTTGTTTTGGCACGCTCATAGTCATCGTCATCGCCTGTATCATTTAACTGTCGAAATATCTCACGGATGCGCGCGCCAGCTTGATAAAGAAGAAGCGCTCTTTGTCGCTTTTTATTTTGAATAGAGACATGTCAAAGTCTGCGAGCCATGTGTTCCATCTCGTCGCTAAGCTAGCACCGATTTCTATGTCTAGGTTGAATTCTGCTATGGGTTGTATCGAAAAGCACGATGTCACTGTTTGTACATTTGTATTATCTTCTTCATCCTCGTCGCCAATGTGACCCGGTCTTCCTGGCCGCGCAGGCCAACTAAGATACTCGTATTTTGAACTCGTTTGTTTCGTATCGAAATATTCTCGTGCTAAACACACTTCAAATAGTAATCTAAGCCTAGTAACCCTCACAAAAAAATATTTTACTGAAACAAAAATTGAAAAAGTTTGTTGTCGCCAGGATTCGAACTCGGGTCGTGCGAACCAAAAGCAGGAAACTGCATGCACGATACACGTCATATAAAATAACACGTTCACGGGTCGCTGTGCATGGCCGCCGATTGCGCAGGAAATCTAGACGTCTGTCGTTCGAGAAAATACGTACAGCTAATCAAAATGCTGGATTCTCGTCTTGTCCTGTTTGATATGCTCACTCTGCATACACTAGCACACACTGATCATGGTAAACCTACACTAAAACGGGTTTACAGACGACGATCACATGAATCATGAAAGTCTTGTATGCTATGAAAGCCTTGTATGAAAGCCGGCCAGACCGATCCTATTGAATTTCAGTACAAACTGATTCCCAGAGTACATGATTCCAAACTCAGCCTTATTCACGCATATCGTTAGCTACATATGCCTAGCATCAATAATGCAGTTTTATCCCTATATTCTGTACGAAGTGCTCTATTTACTAGAAACCCTGAGAAAGAAATTTTTTTCTAAAGGAATAAATATTGACAAGAAATGGGGCACAGTTGCATGCAACGATTGGCGCGACGCAGTAACCGCCAGAATTGGCGTCTTGTTAGTATATGTATTGTATTATCTGTATATTACCCTTACCACAGTGAAACTATGAACTGATATTGCAGAAAACACATGTTAATCATGTCTTTTAAAACAACACTGATACTATCAATAGAGAGTGAAATACTTAGAATGACTTGCCGAAAAAAACTAGTCTTGACAGCAAGCTGCGCAAAGATAGAAAATCTTAACAGCTTAGAAATCCAAGCCCGACTGTGTTTCTTATATAGTTATATTACATGTATATTTAACGTTTCCGCAAGCACCGCAAGAGCGAAGATATAACATGGCCCAAATACGGACGAGAAATACGATAGAGAGAACAGTTGTATTATTAAAGAGACCCTTTCTATGCTTATCAATGAGTCTACGTACAAAACTTGAAACAACACTCACTATTATTGTTGCTACAGCTACTTTGTACAAATGATCCGTTTGAAGAACCGGACTATATTCCAGAGGAAGATGACGAGATTCCGGATGTTGAAGGTCATATAAAGGACAATTGGGTTTTGCTGTGCGTGACGCCTTGATAGTACAACATTTCACTTAAATTATAGTAAGCCATCTTAAATATGCTTGAGAAAGGTTTCAAAACAACGGTTCAAAACAATGTTTCAAATACTAACATCATATATATACCTGCATGTACATATTGCATTATAATTTATACCGTTTGCCAACTTGATTTGTAAGAATCGTCTATCACAACAACATATTAATAAATGAAATTGTTGTAATATTCATGACGTTTTTTGTTTAACATCATTCATTTCAATAATTATTGTTTGTGCATCCTAGCACGGGTGATGGTCTCTGCTGTTCTTCTTCGTTAGGTTTTACGCATTTTCTCATCGAATTCCAATACTCCAGTTCAGCGTCCAGCACTTCAAGCTTTCTTGTGTGTTCAGTGATCAATTGGGTTTTTTTAATAACCAACAATTCCATCTCCGCCTCATGTTGTTGTTCTTGCATGCTCAAATAAAAGGGTTTTCTAGGCTGTCTATTTAAGCAGGGATTATTGAGGCAATAACCGATGATTTTTCGTCTGCAGGTGATGTGGATACACCACCACCAGTTAATTTAGCGGCCCGTTTTACTTAAACAAGAACCTTTTTGGCCGCATCTTCAAATTTTCCCAACATTTCTTAAGTTAATTCGCATCCCGCTTAGTCACACCTGACTGCGAATTAAATTCTTGCGATAACGTTTCCCACAACGCGTTTTTCTGGGATGTTGCCCTAAAATCATTTCTTTCCCTTTCCAGGACGTCTTTGTGTTTTGCCACTAACTCTGTAAAGGCCGTTTTCCACTTCACTGTTTCGCTCGCCGTCGACGAAAAATTTCGCCAATGACGTAATGTTTGATCATTTTATTTGGCCGTCGAAGAAATTTGTCCTGCCGCTGCGGTCGTTGAAAATTTTCAACTTTCGTGAAGAAAAAAACACGTCAGCAAAATTTTTTTCCAACATGGCGAGTTTTTTGGAAGAATATGAGGACTTGAATGCTACAGAAGATGCTATGGATCCAGATGCAGAGGTTGTACATTTCGAAGAAGATAATAGAGATGGAAACGTAGATCTTGAAGCATTAATAGAACTCGTTCGGAGCTTACCAATTCTTTGGAATACTAAGCTGAGAGGTTACAAAGAAACAAATAAAAAAAACACAGCGTGGAATCAAGTTGCATTGCATTTAGGTTGCGATGGTAAGTTTACCGAAATAATTTTAATATTTGGAGGTATTTAATACAATAAAGTTTGAAAAGTCTAAACATAATTTGAAAATACATCACTATATCTGCAGAGAAGTATGTGGGACTGAATTTTTTTGTGCAAAATAAAACCATGACCACACAGGATAATTACAATATTTTGCCCCTGGGAAACCCAGAAAGCAGGCATTTCTGTTACATGATAGAATTCGAAGATGTTCTCTGGTCTTTGTTGTGATTAATAATAACTAAGCTGCTGCTTTTGATCAGGCTAGCTTCAATATTTTAGCCAGTTGTTGTACACTGGTGAAAGAATGTTTTTGAGATTGTAAAGTTATGTTTGTTTTAGTGAGTATTTGTCGTGCCAAATGGAAGAACATTAGAGATACTTACAAGAAGTGCATCAAAAGGAGAGATCTGGCTACACGGTCAGGTGCTGGTTATAAACGTCTACCTGAATGCAGATTTTTTAAAGAATTACAATTCCTTAGTGATTCTGTAACCAGCAAAGAAACCGAAAGTAACTTCACCTTTGTTAGAAATGATGAAGGTCAGTCATCTGCAATGGACATTAAGACAGCTGAGGTACCAAGTGATAAATCAATTCCAGTGCCACTCTCAGTTTCCTCACCAGCAAGGTCAGAATCCCCTAACACCTCATGTCAAGATGTACCAGCAGGGATACCAATAAAAAGAAAAAAGTTGCATACAAGAGAAAGAGAAGATATCAGTACTGCACTAGATCTGGAGTTGATAAGTCATCTCAAAAAAAAATGTAACAGAAAATGATCAAAATATTGGTAAATCTGAAAATGAGCTTTTTTGTAAAAGCCTTATTCCGATACTTGATCGCTTTGACAACAAAACAAGTCAGATGGCAAAAGTTAGAATTCAACAATTATTGTTTGAAATAGAGTTTGGAAAAGACTAAAGGAAAACTATGTTCATATTGTTTTAACAAGTATATTTATCACGTACAAACCTATTTTGGAAAAATTGTTAATAATATTTGTCGTTAATTTTTAAATAAACATTTGTTATTTTTTACATTATGTACATCAAAATACATTTGAATTTAAATTATATACCAGTATAAGTTATTGTTACAATTTTGTTGATCAACTGTGTAAATATTATATTCTGTTAATCTGTTTCAATTTAATTAATTACATTCTCAGTAATAAGTTTGATTGCATTTTATTTACATGCAGTGTTTTTTTGTTATTTACAAATTTGATTTTCATGCACAAATTCAAATCCAAAATAAATCACTCAAAATTAATTAATTATTAGTTATTAAATTTACAGTGTTAAAAATTTCACCTCTTGACTACCCAATAAAGGTAAATTTACACAAATCAAGAACAAAGTCAGTGGGCTCAATGAGTTATAACTGTTTAATCTCTAGTGGAGCTCTTCAAGGGTGATTAACGGTCTGTCAAAACTGTTGGATACACTATCCACTGTATTCCATTGCCAAGGGACCTCTCCATCAGCTGAATTGAAATACTCTCTGAAGGTATCTCGTACACGTTTGGCATCTCTGGAATATGTATTTGACGCACATCTTTGTAAATCAAGGAAATTACTGTCAGAATTGACCTCTGATCTCCATGCACCATTAGACTGACCATTGCTATCAACAAAACCATGAGGGCAATATTGTGTTTCCTTTCCTTTGTTTGCATCTTCCATCAGGTAATTATGCAAACCCACTATTGCTTCAGTAATAGCAACTACCAACTTGGTACTGGCAAAAATAGGTCTCCGCAGTATACGAAAGCGTGATGCAGCAATACCAAAGGTATTCTCAATGACCCTTCTTGCCCTAGAGAGCCGGTAATTAAATACTCTTTCAGATCTTCCAATGCTACCCCCAGGATATGGCTTCATTAGATTATGCTTCAGTGGAAATGCCTCGTCTCCAACTACAACATATGGTAGCACTTTGTCACTACCTTGCAGTTTTGCTTTTTCAGGCATGTTCAGCAAGCCTTGGTTTATTCCAAAGCCAATCATGCTGTTTTCAAAAACTCCTCCGTCGCTGATTCGGCCACTATTGCCTATATCCACAAGGGTGAACTGATACTTAGCATTACAAACAGCAAGCAAAACAATGCTATGAGTTTTTTTATAGTTAAAATATTCGGAGCCACATCTTGGAGGGGCTTGCATCACAATATGTTTACCATCGATGGCTCCGAGACAGTTAGGGAAGTTCCAAATCAGCTCAAACTCTCGAGAAATTGTCCTCCATTTATCAATTGAATCTGGAGCTCTCACATACCCCTTTGAGCAAAGGACGTCCCATAAAACTTTGCACGTTTCAAGCACTATCCTACCAATTGTTGTCGGACTTATTCGGTAACTCAAGCCAATAGTTTGCTGGGCATCACCCGTGGCTAAATATCGTAATGTTACACTGAGTCTCTCACTTGGCCCAATAGCTTCTCTTTTTCTGGAAGATTTTGTAATGTACGGAGCAACCATAGTTAACAGTTCCTCGTATTTTTGTGGAGTCATTCTGAACATTACAAAGAAATACTCATGGTCTGCCAACATTAGATCCTTGACCAGAAGATGAAATTCGCCTTTTGATTTGCGTTCGGCAAACGTTTTTCTTACCCAGAAGCGTTTCCTATATTTATTGCGCAGTAAATTTCTGCGAGACCTTTGTCGCAATGCTAATAACAGCAAAAAATCCTCATTTTTCATGTTTAAAACTTTGAAACAAGAATTGGACTCCTCATTGCCTCCATTTTGTTTTTGTATATATTTTCGCGAAAGTGGAAAATTAAATTTTCGCGCGCGAATATTTTCGCTGCGAAATTTTTCGTCGACGGCGAGCGAAACAGTGAAGTGGAAAACGGCCTTAAGAAGTGACTTTTCTAGTTGTGAAAAATACTGCCTGCCTTGGGACATCTCACTGCACGTTGTCTTTGGACTTCACAGCCGAGAAAATCAAACTCTTATAAAGTACATAATTTTTTACTGAATTGCACTCCATGCAGTTAGTCACACTTGAGTAAGCTTTTTGAATCCAAATTGACCAGTTTGCTTAACAAATGAGTAAGCCCTTTCAAAGCGCAAGGTTATACTCACACTCCATTTATTCTCACACTTCAATCACTCTTGGAAGCAGCTCACTCGAATTTAACTTAAGGGTGAGTGTGAGTGCGCTTTTAGAATACAGCCGTTAAACGATAAGAGTTCCACGATAAATATCTTGCAAAACCAAGAATTTTCCAAATCCCCAGAAGTTACTTTAGCGAAGAGACGACAGCTAGTGCAACAACACGCCAAAGGAAACCGACCACAAGCTTGTCGAGAGTTGACGATGGCAGAGGAAGACCAGCTTTTTGAGTTCGGTTTGTTCGGGAAACATGAGCCAGAAGTCCTCCAGAGGACAGTTTGGTGGGTTCTTTCTCTTCATTTTTGGGAAACAGGCTGCGAATTGTTGTTGTGGAAAGCTGAAAGAGGGTCAAAGACCAGACACGGCAATACGCAACATCAGAGAGCATTAAATCCCACAGCGCAAGCAACCCAAAATGAACGTTGCCATGCATGTTCAGTTATATCGAGGAGTTTCCCAGTATCGACCAGACGAAATGAAGTAGCCAGACTCCCCATTCTTTTTGGCTATTAACCAACGTCGCCAGCCAAGTTCGCATATATGGTACATAAAAGCTCCACTCGGGAAAAACGAAATTGGGAAATTTCTGTCGAAGGCTGCGAAAGCTGCTAAATTGCCACACAACATTACAAACCACTCGGTAAGAAAAACCTGCATTTCTCGTTTAATGGATGCCAATGTTCCCAAGAATCTCTTCGCCCAACTGAGCGGTCACAAGAATTTGAAAAGCCTTGATTCATACAAATCAGCTTCGACAGCACATCACAGGAAAATGTCGTTAGTTTTAAGTCGTTCTGCGACCTCGTCTTCTGCATGCCACACGCTCGAGAAGTTTGCAGCCTTTGGAGTTTAATCAAGCATCAATTCAATGGCGAAGCCTTCCTTGTCAAACAACAAAGCCAATCCTACTCAAATCGCTCTGCGGTCAAAGGCATGTTTTCGGGAGCAACAATTCAAAAGATCAAAGCCTGCATTTCAACTTTTGGCTCAACAGCGGCAAAAGTCCGATCAGAGAAACTTTTCCAAAAAAAAGACGTGTTATCTTGAGCGATGAGAATGAATCGGCCTAACTATAACTTCCTTGACGTTTCCCTGTTAGATTTCATTACTTTATAGTAAGCTTTAATATGAATATTTATACATCTAAAACGGCTTTTGCACGCTTACGAGTTTGTTTTGAAATAAACATGTCTTCCTCATATGGCGTCACTTAACATTCACCAACACGCACGGGGGGCGGAATTAAAAAAAAACAAACTATTAGTTACCAGTTTAGTTGGTCCGTATAGGAAATAACTCCCTCGGTCTCGATGACGTCCCTCGGCCTATGGCCTCGGGCCGTTTTTGAGACCTCGGGAAATGTTTCCTTATACGGACCTCCAATCTCCCAAATGTAAAATCGTTTTTCAGGTTATTTTGCAGAATCGTTTTTCAGGTTATTTTGCTGTATTCCTAGAGATAGTTAAGACTTATCTGGTATAACTAGGCCAAGTTTGGTTTTTCATTAACAAAATATGTTACCGGGGGGGGGGGGGTGGTTGCTTTCCACTGATATTGAGAGGTCTTGCGCGCGAAAATGGGAAGCCGAAATTGAGATATTATTTCGCTGTCTAAAAGTAGGAAAGCTTTTTAATAAACTGTCAAAGTTTCAAGAAAAAAAATGCATACTGAAAGCAGCGCGCGACCCCTAAAAGTGACAAATATTTAATTGCGCGCAGTGGATTAAATCCATCGTTGATTTTAGCGTGACGGATCTCATGCAAGGCTGGGAAATTAAATAAATTAAAGCGAGAAACCAATTTATTCTTGATATTAATCCTCAGCAGGTCCACCATTTCATTCTAAGCAAACTGCGGCTCGTCAGAACATAGTAAACACTGAACAGCGAACCATTTGTCTGTCCATTCGCCTAGATTTGCCGGTGGTAGCGTAGGCAATTTGCAAGAAAGAATTTCGAACGAAATGGAGAATTTGAGGAAGGACAGACAAATGGTTCGTCGTTCAGTGTTTACCATGCTCAGGCGAGCTGCAGTTTGCTTAGAAAGAAATGGTGGAAATGTTGAGGATTAACATCACGAATAAAAATCTTGTTATTAAATCGCTTTTTTTTGTGTCCAGTTTCTCGCTTTAATATGAAATATTTGTCACTTTTAGGGGTCGCGCATTGCTTTCAGTATGCATTATTTTTCCCGAAACTTTGACAGTTTATTAAAAAGCTTTCCTACTTTTAGACAGCTAAACAATATCTTAATTTCAGCTTCACATGTTCGCGCGCAAGCCCTCTCAATATCAGTGGAAAGAAACCACCCCCCCGGTAACATAATTTTGTTTATAAAAAAACAAACTTGGCCTAGGTATACCAGATAAGTCTTAACTATCTCTAGGAACACAAAAATTTGCTAAATTCTGCAAAATATCCTAAAAAACGAAAATTTTACATTTGGGAAATTTTTTTTTAATACACCCTGTATATATATATATATATATATATATATATATATATATATATATATATATATATATATATATTTATATATATATATATTGATTTTTGGCACTGAGCTACAGAGGTAGCAGACAACATCAAGCGTGGTTAATGTGTATAGATAGATGGTAATGCCGGGAGTAGGTGACGGTAAATCAATAATGATTTTTGGCCCTTCACTCGATGGAGGAATATTCTAGAGGTTTTTAAAGGGTCTTAATTTCGAGTGGTATTATTGGCAAGAGCATTGTACCGGCATCGCAAAAGCGTAGGTTCGATTCCCGCCGGAGGACCTATAGTTGACTCATTTTCCTATCAACTGTTCCTGGCTTGAATTTGAAGTGTGCATAATACCACTCAAAATTAACACCCTTTTGTATGTATATATATATATATATATATATATATATATATATATATATATATATATATATATATATATATATATTGTATGTAATGACCCTATATGTTTATATATATATATATATATATATATATATATATATATATATATATATATATATAAATATATATATACACCCATTTGCAAAAACGTTGGCCGCAGATAGATAGATAGATAGATAACTCGAAGTCTAATTAGAATTGCATATGATTACATTTGCATGGGATTTCCATAATATTACACAACATATGCAATTCTAATTAGATTTCGAGTATCTATCTATATATCTACCTGCGGCCAACGTTTTTGCAAATGGGTGTATATATATATATATATATATATATATATATATATATATATATATATATATATATATATATATATATATACATGAAAAAGGTTGTCACATTGAAATATATATAAATACGTAAATATCAGTCACGTGATTTTACTGCATACGTTAATTTTATAGAAAATCCGTGAAAATCTTTATCAAAAATTTCATAAATATCATAGTAAGGTTAACAATATTGATAATAACATAGAAACAAGACGAAAATGAGCGTAATAAACAATGTTTAATGCTCACGTGATTGATATTTATATATTTGTATATATATTGATAGGGACAACCTTTTTGATAACGACTGTATATATATAAATATAAAGGATTGTTTTTATTTATTTAATTAAATTGCTCTTGATGTTAGCTAGTTAGCTCATTTGATCTAGCTTATAATTGAATATATATTATTATGTGGTTATTTTATTGTTATTACCACAATGTGGTATCATAACAAGTTGACTGCAATCACTGAATAAAAATGATATTTAAAAAGTAAATGATGTTTAGCCTCTCTTTAAAAATAGGTTGAATAGGGATTGCAATCTTTAAAATACTTAATCATGATTGCAATTTACCTGACATCAAGTCTGGTCCACTTTTGATGATAATTTTTATATGACATTGTATGTCAAATTCTTGATGTTCGCTGCTGTATCTGTAGTTGTAGCTTCGTGTGTAACGACCAGGAGAGAACCATTCGTTGGTTCTTTTCGGATTGCTCAAATATGGCTTGGTCGAGCACTTAATAGGTTTAGGTTCTGCCCAACTGACAGAGATCCAAGGTATATAAAAAAAAGTTTCATCAGGTTCCACTATTTGGATATTTGGACACTCGCAAGCTGGATAAGTAAAATGGTTGTGAGAAAAACACAAACAATGTGACGTATAGCTTTGATGAACCAGTTGTTATTATATTGTTAAATGATTTGACAGGTTTTGATTGGCTAATAGTAAAGTGGGACACCTTCATAGGCAACGGGTGACCTCATCGAAATATTATAATTATATAGTCATAGATGTAGATGTAAAGTAGGTCGTCATAAAACAAGTACGAGGGAATGTTCATTCTTTTGGATGAATAATAAAACAATAATTATATTTCGTTTTTTACATGATTGAATTAGGACTCGGCTTCCCGCTGTCAACTTCAGCTGGA